GGAGTCATGATGTGTCTTTTGACCCTACTAGAAACCTATCAGCAAACGCTGTTAGGTAAAAATCAATGTGCACCGGTGGGGGGGGATCAACAATAATTATTCTTCAAGAATGAGAGTTCAACAACAACAACAACAACAACAACAACAACAACAACAACAACAATTACTAGCACGTGGGGACACTCCGTTCTCAACAGTGCCAGGGTTTTCATAGGAGGCGGGCAATACCCCCACTTTGTGGGGGGGCCGGTTCAAGCTCTACCAAATTTCCAAACGACTCTTCGCCACCACCCACACCCAGCTTCCCGCCCTATGACGTTCGGACACTTCACTTCGTGGCATGCGGACGACCGTGGCTACTATTCAGGGCCCCGCGGCCGACGACGACGGCGTGCGCGCGCGAAGAAAAAACGAATGTGTCCCGCATGGTATTATTTGACAGGGATGATGGCCCTGGCAGGTGCGCAACCGTTGTCGCAGAAGTTCGAAAAAGTTGCTCGCAAAAGCCCGTTTGACAGAAATGTTTAAAAAGTGTTGGGTTTCCTACGAATCCGCAAGAGCGCGCGGGATGAGATTTTGACATTTTTTTGTTGAAAAACCATTGGTTTTTTGATGTTTTTATGTTAAAATCGCTGCGAACACTAAGGTTTTGGAAGGATTTCGTCTTGCGCGCGCGAATGTCCACTTTACCTTATTTTTTGCAAGGGATTCTTGAAATTTGATTATATTAGAACAAGAAATGTCATTTTCTATTGTTTTTTGCAAGGGAAAGCGGATTACAACAAAACAACCGGATCCTGTACACACCCTCTTTCTGAGGCTTCCTCACGAAAATGATGAAAATGTAGCTGCGGCCTAGGCGGCGCAGGGGGGGCGCGCACCAGGGGGCCCAACAATAATTATTCTTTAGAATAAATAATGTTCAACAACAATTACTAGCACGTGGGGACACTCCGTTCTCACCAGTGCCAGGGTTTTCATAGGAGGCGGGCAATACCCCCACTTTGTGGGGGGGCCGGTTCAAGCTCTACCAAATTTCCAAACGACTCTTCGCCACCACCCACACCCAGCTTCCCGCCCTATGACGTTCGGACACTTCACTTCGTGGCATGCGGACGACCGTGGCTACTATTCAGGGCCCCGCGGCCGACGACGACGGCGTGCGCGCGCGAAGAAAAAACGAATGTGTCCCGCATGGTATTATTTGACAGGGATGATGGCCCTGGCAGGTGCGCAACCGTTGTTGCAGAAGTTCGAAAAAGTTGCTCGCAAAAGCACGTTTGACAGAAATGATTAAAAAGTGTTGGGTTTCCTAGGAATCCGCAAGAGCGCGCGGGATGAAATTTTGACATTTTTTCGAAAAAAAACCATTAGTTTTTGGATGTTTTTATGATAAATTCGCTACGAACACTAAGGTTTTGGAAGGATTTCGTCTTGCGCGCGCGAATGTCCACTTTACTTTATTTTTTGCAAGGGATTCTTGAAGTTTGGTTATGTTAGAACAAGAACTGTCCACTTTAGTTTATTTTTTGCAAGGGAAAACCGATCGTAACAACACAACCGGATCCGGGCCAACCCGTTTTGCCTGAGACTTCCTCGCGAAAATGATGAAAATGAGGCTGCGGCCTAGGCGCGGCGGGGGGGCCATGCACCAGGGGTCCCAACAATAATTATTCTTTAGAAGTAATAATGTTCAACAACAACAACAACAACAACAACAACAACAACAACAACAACAACAACAAGAGCAACAACAACAACAACAACACCACCAACAACAACAAGCATATTAAGACTGCAACAACAGCAACAACAGCAGCAGCAGCAACAACAACAATAACAACATCATCGCTTCTCGGACCCCTGGAGGGCCCCAAGACTTCCCCAAGAAACCCCCAAGAGGCCCCAAGGGTCCCATGGGACCCCCAGGAGGTTTTGAGAGGTCCCCAAGAAACCCCAACAGACCTCAAGAGGCGCCCGAGAGGCCCCCGTCAGGCTCTAAGAATTCGCCCCCTCCTCCGCGTCCGCATCTCCAGGAGGTCCATCCCCCCCCCTCCTGCCCTCCCCCCCGCCGTCTTGGAGCCCCCCAAGAAAGCTCCAAGACGGCCCCGAGAGGTCTCTGGGTCATTCGGACATGGTGTTGCAGCATCTCCGGGTGATGCGGAGACTTGCCGGGACCCTCTTGGAGTCTTCTCGGGGCCCTCTTGGGGCCTCTTGTAGCGCTCCCAAGCCGTCCTGGAGCCCCCCAAGAGAGCTCCAAGAGGGCCCCGAGCGGTCTAGGGGTCACCCGGAGATGGCCTTGCAGCATCTCTGGGTAACCCAGAAACTGTTCAGGACCCTCTTGGAGTCTTCTCGGGGCCTTCTTGGGGGCCCAGCAGGCCCCCAAGAGGCCCCCAAATGGCTCCCCAAGACGCCCTAAGAAGCCCTCAAGAAGTCTCACCATACCTCAAGAGGCGCCCAAGAGGTCCCTCCCAAAGAAACCCCCAGCAGGCCCCCGGCCCCCAAAAGGGCTCCCAAGAGGCTCCGCGATCGTCTCAGATATGTACGAATTTGTACAGTTTTCGGATAAATGGGAGCCCTGACGCCGCGTCTACTTGCGAAGGCTCTCCGCATGCCCACACGGCGCTTCGCAAGAGGCGATCCTGATGGACAAGATCTCGCAACGTGAATTCCGCCAGTGGCCCCTGGGTCCCCTCTTGGGGCCGTCCTGGAGGCCTCTTGGGCCGCATTGTGGGCACCATGGGTCGTCTTGGTGCCCTCGTGGGTCGGGTCGTCTTGGAGCCCTCTTCGGGGGCCTCTTGAGCCGCCTTGGGGAGATCCTGGCGGCCTCTTGGGCTGTGTTTGGAGCGTTGGAACCCCGAAACAGCGAGAACGTTCAAATCCTGCAAACCCCAGGGGGAAATTATGGTTTGGGCCTCCTTGGAGCCTCCGCGAGGGTCCTCTTGGCGCCCCCTGGGGCCGCCTGCAGGGTCTCTTTGGCCGTCGTGAAGCCATTGTGAGCGTCTTGGGGCGCTCTGGAGTCGTCTCGGAGCCCTCCGAAGTCTTTGGAAACCTCAGGTTGGAAGCCTCCTGAAGGCCCTCCGGGCCTCAAGCCGAGCCCTGCAAGAGGAAGAATTTGTACAAACAGCGGGTACATGATGCCCCTCCCGCGTGGAAGGTAAACACGGCCCTCTCTTGGGGCCTTCTTGGATCTCTCTTGGGCATTACTGGGGCTTTCTGTGAGGGCCCGAAATATAGTACAAATTTAGCACACGACGCTCTCCAATAAGGAGGTGGTTTGTCTTGCGTTTGTGCTAGCCCTTTTGGAGCCCTCTTAGGGGCCTCAGAGGGTTCCCGCAGGTCCCCAAGAGGGCCCGGGAGGGCCCCAAGAGGGCCCCAAGATGGCTCCAAGAGGGCAAACACATGAACACGCATTTAACACCAGACGCGCTCCAATAAGGAGTCGGTTTGTATTAAATTTGCGTTGAATTCTTAGCCCTCTCGGAGACCTCTCAAGGGCCCTCCGAGGGCTCCCGTTGAGCCCCAAGAGGCCCAGGTGGGCCCCAAGAGGGCCCCAGAATGGCTCCAAGAGGGCCCGAAATTTACACAGCACCAGCACCAGCACCACGGGTAGCCCAGGCAGCACCAGCAGCATCATCGCCAGCAGCATCAGCAACATCTAAAGCAACAGCAACGAGAGAGGCAGCAACAGAAAGACGATTCCAAGATTGACCCAAAAAGGTTTTGAAAGGATCGCAAGATTACCCCTGTCGCCCCAAGATGCCCCCCGCTTCTAAGCACTGGCCCCAATATGACCCCAGAGCGACCCTGTGGCCCCAAGAGAATACCGAGACGAAGTTCCAACTGAACTGAGGCTACCGCGTGACCCCGATTTTATTCCGAGATGGCCCCACGACGACCCCATGAGCCCGAGACGACTTCGAGATTGCCCCAGGATGACCCCGTTTGAACCCTAGGTTGACCCCAAGAGTGTGTCAATATGGCTCCAATATGACTCCGATGCGTTTCTTCCGTCTGCCCTTGCTCTTGGCTTGGGCCGACACGACGGATGGGGGTGCTGGCCCTCCGCCCCCTCGTCGTCTTTTTCTTCCTCCTCCCCTCTCGTCCTCGGCGTCCTGGCTTCGTCGTCGCTGTCCGCATGGCCCCTTGTCCCCATACATAGCAGAAAACTGAAACCCGAACACAAACCGAATCCATCCGTTCTCTGATAGGAGTTTCACGGGCCGGTTCGCTCCTAGATTGGTGAGACTTCGAAGGTGCAACGCTAGCTTGTCGGGATGGCACACGTCGATCCCCAGAACGCATGATCGCACCCACTCGTGTTCGGACTGGCTCCTACCCTTACCCTGTCAGGCACCCAGCCTCCCATATTCACATACCCAAATTCACTCACATCCAGACTCTCTCGTCCTCAGTCGTTGATGCTCAGCCTCGTTCGCACTCCATTCACACTCGGTCGTATATGAACACCTGCGAAGAGTCTCTGTGGAACATGAATCCACATGGGGATCTCCGTGCTGAAAAATAATTGGCGGCCCTGGGGAAAGTCAGACGGCCACCGACCTGCAGATATTGCAGGTGTGTTCGTCCACATTGCACGGTGTTCTGACGCTTGTGCTTCCAATTCGTGCAGGAAGGTACATGATTGAAGTCGGCGCTACGGAATGGGAAGAGGATAGCGCGATGAGGATGTTGCAGGTTGGCTTATGCCAGTTTTAGAATACACCGGCAGAGAGTCCATTTGCATTATGGGAAAGCGTATTGCGCAGCGCATCGCGCGAAAATCGCGGATGCAGGGGGGGGGTGCGGAGGGCGATTGGAGGAAGTAATAACGGATTGTGTCACCGAAGCATATAGCACATGTTTGCACGAAGTGTTGGGACGTATCAAACTAGCACTGGTTTTCCAGCGATGCCGTCCACTCGGCAGACTAAGTTCAGGCGTTGCGTGTAGAGGTTACGGCTAAGCGGGCTTGCGACATAATGGGGTGCACACCACAGGCTCGGCCAGCTCAGCGAGAGGGACCAGCGACTTGCCAACCAGGAGGCCTGTGGCGAATGCTGCGTAGCTCGATGCTCCGCAGCCTTAGGACTATTTCCTTGGTTTTCTTTTGGGGGCGAGAGAGTCCACTGGCCGGTTCTTCCAGTTGGAGCATGAGAGAGAACCGTTATTTAATCGCTTCGCTCATTCCGCCGGCCCTTATTGTCGCACCTCTGTCGATTTGGGGGTGTATCTATTCCTGAGGGGATCGCAGAGACTGTGGATTTGGTTTCGGGGGTTCTTCGCAGATTCTGGCGGGGTTGTCCTGGGGCAATCGTGGGTGATCACGGGCTTGGTCGGTGATTGATTTGCTTGTGTCGGTGAGGGGTTGATGATTCTGGATGGTCGCTGTGGGGCCATGTCGCAGATCGGAAGTATTCGTCGCAAGTTTGAGCCGTTCCGTTTTGGAGCGTGGCGGCTTGTGAATGCGACCGCAGGAAGAGGAGGAGGAGGAGGAGGAGGAGGAAGATCCAGAAACAATGCCGAGAGGAATTACTTCGATCAGGGAAGTGGATAGCACACAGAGGAAGGGTCCCCCAGTGGAGGCCTCTTGGAGCGTCTTGGGGGCCTCTTGGCGGACGCCTCTTAGAGCGTCTTGGGTGCCGCGGAGAGCTTCTTGGGGCGTCTTGGGGGTCTCTTGGGAGCCTCTTGGAGGCCTCTTGGGCGCCTGTTGGGGCCTCCTGGGGCATCCTGGGCGCCTCTTGGGGCCCTCTTGAAGCGCTCTTGGGAGCCTTGAGAGCGTTATTTGGAGCCCTCTTGGGCCATCTTGGAGCCATCTTGAAGCTTCGGATGGCCATCGGAAGCGAAAAGGCGAGAAAGCCAAACACATTGATTCTCCGAAGGTTTTGGAAGGATTTGGCTTCTGCTTGCTCGCCGCACTGTGGCAGGGGACGGAGCAAGACACGGGTTTTCTTACGTCGAGGCCCAGGTGACCGTTCCAGCGTCTTGCAAAATATGCCTCGTGTGGTAGTGCCTCAGGAGCTGCAGGCTGGCCTGGCCAGGTCCGCGGCGACCCAGGGAAGGTCGCCAGGAACACTGGCCAGGCGCAGCCCCGTTGAGGCGAATTTTAAAAACTCCCGGTGAGGCGCCTCCACAGAGGCATTGGTGAAACGCGCGCCCGAGGATCGGCCGTGGCCGGTACCGCCACATCAGTGGAGATGGTCGACACGGCGTGCGACAGCTGACCGCACCGCTCATTGTCTGAGAAGCGAGCGTAAAAAGGCGCAAATTGTCTCAGGGGCTGACCAGCCGCCGTGAGCCTGCACCAGCTCTTCCGGCAAACGGCACACTGTCTTGCACCAGTGGGCGCCGCCTTTCCGCAAGGAGTGCGTTCCGACAGCAGCAGTTTGGAACAATTGCGCGAAACTTCTGCGGAAGGAATCGCAACTCACGGCGCGAGGCTCGGTCAAGTGAGCTGCGCAGAACACGGGCGCATCAGGGTTCGATCCCCAGCGCGCGTCCCGCTGCACCAACCATTCTCGCAGGAGGTGGCATGGGCACAAAGCCGGGTGGCTCTCTATCCTTGGGATGTGGCACGCCATACCCTGGCCGAAAGGATCATCCTTCTGGCGGGCAACGAATACTATTGCACAACATTGTCGTGGATATCGCTGCGATGGTGACGTCTCGGACAGCGGCAAGGCTGCCTACTTTGATGCGGGCGGTCTGGTAACAGCGCAACTCGTCCAGAAAGACTAGGCGTTTCGCGCGTGACCGCGGATTGTCGGCCCGCTTCTTTAAACCTCTCCAGAACTGCGTTGGCCGTTCGGTCCACGCACTATCGAACTGTGTTGTTAAATTTCGCCGTTGGTGCCAACAACGCACCGCCGCGCGCAAGTTGGTGACGGATGACCAGGACTGGCCGTCCATCTGAGCGAACAACATCATCAATTTCATTTTGGAATCACACGGCAACAACTGTAAGCCAGCGTGGGACTCGAGTGCATTTACGAAGATGCGAAGAGAGCTGATATACCGCTTACCGCCTGGTAGCAACAGTGGATTGCTTATATGGTCCTGCTGCGACGCGCCCCCTGTTCCGCAGTGGCGCTCTCGCAGACTATGGACAAGGGGTCGGGGCCCTCGCGCAGAAGCTGGCGCGCGCCTGGAGCGTCGACGCACGGGGTCAGTATTTACACGAGGGGCACAGCGGGGCCCGCAGCAGGTCTGAACGACGGGCTGGGCTCGCCCGGGCTCGGCGCACCCCGGGGCGCCGGAGATGACCGCGAGGGCGCCGCGCGGGGCCCCGGGAACTAGCCTCTCGGCGGGCGGCCCCCGGTGGACGAAATCATCGCGGCGCAGACAGGCGGGGCCGGGGCGCCAGCGACGCGCGGGCTCAGGTGACCCGGGGCCGCGCTTCATCTTGAGCTCTATAGTTAAGGTCGCACCGGCCCCTCCCCAACGACCGACAGACCGGGGGAATGCAACGGCGAGGGTGTTTTTCCCTTGGCCAGAGGAAGCATTTTTCCTTTGCATCGCACGTCATTAACGGCGTTTTCTTGGCCCCAGGCCGCAGGGCGCGGATTTTGGCCCCTGGTGTTGAAGCCTGGCAGTGGCGATTGCTTATGGCGCGCGCGCCCGGCCACCGTGCGTTCCCCCCTGCCAGTGGAGCCAAAAAATTGAAGCGTGCATGTCTTGCAAGGATTCAATCCCACGGGTGCCTAGGCCGCGCCTCGGCCCGCGGCGACGCTTGGCCCCGGGCATTCGCCGCTGCCTATGGCGCGCGCGCCTGGCCCGCGCAGCCCCCGCGCCCGCCGACGATCCGCGGGCGGGGGTCGCGGCGAGGCGGGGGGGCGGGGCGGGGGGGGGGGCGCGGAAACAGGCGGGGGGAGGAGGAAGCAGGACGAGGGGAAACACAGCCGTTGACGCGATGAATTGCATCCTTTTCTCAAGGAGCGCACGGGGCGCGGCCTCGGACGGCGCCGCGGCGACCGGCCCAGGGCGCGCGCCCGACGCAGGCGCGCGGCCGAAAAGTGAGCGCGAGCGTTGGGAGCGGCCGGGCGGCGTCTGCGCCGCAGGCCGTCGCGCGAACTAATTATCGCGCGCCCCGGGCACTGGCGTCAAAGAGTACGAAAAATGTAGTGAATGATCCGTTGCGCACCAAATAGAGACACCCAGTGACCCGGGGCGGGCGCAGACTCGCGCTGGTCATCGGTTGCGGGGGCAGCCCGCCGCCCGGTGCTCGACGTCCTCGGCCCAGCCTGCTCCTTTGCACTTCGGGCAGGTGAGCGCGCGAGGGTCGCCGAGGGAACGGCGCGTCGAGAACTTATGCTTCACCGCTCCACGGTTCGAGCGCAGGCAATGGCGGCGCACCTCGGACACGAGGGTCTCGACTGCTCCCGGGTAGGCCTTGCTTTTGTCCGCAAGCCAGGAATCGATCTTGGAGACGCTGGGATCATCGATGGCAAAAACGCGCAGCTCGAAGGACAAGGCGTCGGCATCGTTCTTTTTGGCGGCTATCCTGGAGGTCACTGCAGCGGCCAGGGGCGGCGATCTCTCCCGCTTGACGGCGCCCGGGGCGCGGCCGGACCTCTCGCGCCCCTGGGCCTACGCCTGCGAGCGCCTGGGCACTTGTCCTGGGGGGCCAGCGCCAGCGCTGCCAGGGGATCCAGTCGCCGCTCTCTTCGCCGCGGCCACGGGCCCCGAATCAGATGGATTCCGAAATCACGGAGCATCAGCTCACTGTCGAGCGCGGCCGATGGCTTGGTGCATCGCCGCATGAAGCTCTTGATGCATGTGTAGACGTGGCGTTAAAGACAGCTCCTGGGCAGAGTGATTCCCCGGCGCCGTTTTCTTCTTGCTTGAGGGAGCCGCCGCGCGCTTCTCGATTTCTCGATCAAATGGTACAGCGCAAGAATGGCGCGGCTCAGGGCGCGAGCAGCTTGGTCGCCGCTCTCTGCGCGCTCGCCTAAGTACACTTGCAACCGGTCGGGCCTCCCGCCCGACTCCGGGTAGCGCATCTTCTTCCAAGTGGTTTTGGCTGCGTGGCGCACGGGCGCGCGGGTCGCAAGCGCGGACAGGTCCGAATTAGACGGATGGGCGGCGTGCAGAGCGTCGAGCGCGGCCATGGGAGCACATGCGTCAGCGAGGGAATCCGCGACTGAATCCTCGACCTGGTCCGCGCCAGCCATGATCGCGAACCGCGCCCTCCGGATCTGGTCGGGGCTGAGCTCACGCAACACCCTGCGGGGCGGGAACTCCGAGTCTGCCTTGGCCTGGGAGTCTGGGATCTGGGCTGCCTTCGCGAGGCCGTTTCCGACCGCGAGCGGGGCCGCAAGGCTGATGGCCCCGTCGAACCCGACCTCCTCGGCGATGCCGGCGAGCACAACTGTGTAGACGCACCTCGAGGGGCGCAGGCGGCCGCAATCGCCTCGTCGATGAGGGCCATGACGCGCTCCTCAGACGCCATGCCCCAGACAGGATAAGCGTTCGGTTGACGCGTCCGCTGATGGACCAACTGGACGGGGAAAAAACATATAAGATTATCCTGGCAAAGCAACCTAACAGCGATGTGTAGGAGCGTATATGGAAGCATTCCCCTTAAGATTCAGATGAGAATCCAGTTGTAGAGTTCTGCTGTTCTCGCAGTCGTAGTCGCATTCGCGATGACAGTCGCAGTGTCAACGGCAGTCGCAGTCACAGCCTCAGCCTCAGCCTGCCTCAGCCTCAGCCTCAGCCTCAGCCTGCCTCGGCCTCAGCCTGCCTCAGCCTCAGCCTTAGCCTGCCTCAGCCTCAGCCTCAGTCTGCCTTGGGCCTCGGCCTCAGCCTCAGCCTGCCTCAGCCTCATCCTGGGACTCATCCTGCATCAGCCTCAGCCTCAGCCTGCCTCAGCATCAGCCTGCCTCAGCCTCAGCCTCAGCCTCAGCCTGCCTCTGCCTCAGCCTCAGCCTGCTTCAGCCTCAGCCTCAGTCTGCCGTCGGCCTCGGCCTCAGCCTCAGCCTGTCTCAGCCTCAGCCTGCATCAGCCTCAGCCTCAGCCTCAGCCTGCCTCAGTCTCAGCTTCAGCGT